TCAGTTACAAATTCAGTGTTGCCCAGTGTAATTTACCGGCTACATGGGCAAGAAAAAAAATGGCACGCAATGCAAATACGAGGGGAATAGCCAATGAGGTGGCCAGGTTTCAGTCCATACTAACCCTTTAACTTTCGCTTTCTTTGGTAAAGGTGAATTGGAACAATATGAAACGCGTCTAATCTGAAGCATAAAGGAATAAAGGCACATAAAGCAATCATGGACAATCAGGTAAGCAGCACGCGTCATGAACTATATACTTAAGAAAGAGTACGCTATTATATTTTTGCAACTTACCAGAGCAAAGCAGTAAAAAAAAAACATAAATTACTATCCGAAAAGACTGTAAAATGTATTAGTACTAATCTGTAAAAAAAAAAAAAAACACAACCACAAGGAGATCTTTTTTTTCTGAAACCAATATCTTTTGGTTTCACGCCTATTTGAATAACTATAAGCCAGATACAAGGTTTTAATGTTCCCTATCAACGCGTATGTTTCGGTTTCAATCTTACAGGTCAACGGACCGAAACGTCGGAACCAGATCAATATTTTAATAATAAATGCATACATCATTTACGGTAAGTCTGCTTCAAGACAGGATGGGCTCTAAACACGTTTCTGTTTGAACTGGTACATCACACGTGATACGACTGACAGAATTTAGAACAGACACACACACACACACACACAGTGCTTCACATGACCAGCGGGAGGTGATGTACCGAAATGAACTTGAATTGGAGCCACCAGGTTTTATTTTCCCTGCTGTTGTGCTTATGATTAAACTCGGCACAAAATCTGCTGTAAATGCACAAGAAAGGTGTCTCCATGGAAGTCTTCTTAGGAGTGTGTATTTAGAGAAACAAATGCAGTTTTTGCTCTTGAGTGACCACTGGGAGTCTCCAGCATCCCCTCAAATGTGATTGCCTGTTATAACGCGTGTTGCCTCCATACTGTAATTGATTCAAGATGTCACATATTTTACAGCTTTATTTTTTTTGGTTGACTGTCTACTCCCTGGATTATCCTTCCCCTTACGTGAACTGTATAAAATTCTGAGTTCCTGCTGTCCAGGTAAGCTGTGTTTCTGAGGTTTGATGTCTACCATCTGAAATGATTCATATTCAGTCAGTCAAGAAAAATATAATGTTCCCACCGTTTCCAACTAAATTTCATATTTGACTATTATTGTCAGGATTGGTCCCTGTCTTGCCTTGGTCGAAGTATCATTTCTCCGTTAAGCCATTGGGTGTCACTGGTCATCCTGTTTCCTGTTATATCCCAGGTTAATTAGTAGCTCCTAGTGTTTCTCTGTTCTCTTGCCCCCCCCTCTGAGATTTTTCCAGGTCTTTTTACATTCGTCATCTATTAAAGTGGAGAAAATATGTCGTTTAAAGATAAAATATATTTTAAGACATCCCAACCTGCAAAGGATCATTTCCTCCATACCCGCTTTGTGTGAGTGTGTGTTTTGAAGGATCAGACCGAACGCTAGCCCGCTTCGATGCTTTGATTCTATTGATCGCGCGAAAATGCGTCACGGCGCGCAGCGGTCAAAGTTCAACAAATTTCAACTTTGACCACGGTGCGCGCACAAGGCCGCCTAGTGGCGCGCAGCGCCGCGGTTGCGCTGTGCTCCGCGCAGCGCAAAATCCCTCTTGCGCCGCGCAAGCCATAGAGAATAATAGGTTTCAGAGGAAAGCGCAGCGCATGCTGCGTTCGGTCTGAAACCCGCTTATTTCTGCTTGGTTCTTTGTT